AAAATTATGAGTTATCGACTATATATATTTACAACAATCGTATCAAAGTTATTACATGAATTAAAATTATACTATATATTATAGTTTATGAGTTAAAAAAGTTAAAAAGAAGGAAATCGCTTCTCAATAAGAATTGTCTTAAGTTTCGTCTTAAAATTGTTCAGATCACTAATTGATTTCAACTCTGTATCTAGACCATTCCATATCTTAGTCCCTCGGTATTTGAACGATCTTTGCCCGATCGATGTCCTATATTTTGGAATATCCAGGTCTCCATTTCTTCTAGTATCTCGGTTATGAATTCTGTTTCGTGGTTCAAAATTATCACATAAATACTGTGGAGCTTTGTCATTCATACATTTAAATGTCAATAACGCATCTCTGTACAATAGATGTTCTTTGATTGACAACCATCCTAACGCGTTTAATGTTGGTGATATATGATCATACTTATGCACCCCTGTAATTAATCGGGCTGCGCAATTTTTTATTAATTGGATCTTTTTTATGTTGCCATCTGACGTATTAGACCATACTGTTGAACAATAGTTAATTTTACTCATGACTAATGTATCGATGATTGTAACTAGTGTTGACTGATCAAAGTTGTGTTTCACGCGACCAATCTGACGCAATTTTGAGATACAAGATGAGGACAATGCTTGTATATGTTTGTCGTACGTTAGATGGGAGTCCAAAAGCATACCCAAATCCTTAACCTCTGTCACAGGTGCAAGATTTTCTCCCATAAAATTAATATAAACGGGAGATTCCAATTGATTCATGAGTTATCGTGTACCAACCACCAACATTTTGGTCTTTTCTGGGTTTACAAGAAGACTGTTGTTGCAACACCATTCAAAAATTCTGTGTAGATCCTCTTCTATATGCAGTAACGAGTGTTCCATATGCGACAATGAAAACGATAAAAATGTTTTCGAATCGTCAACATACGATTCAAGACTACAACTCTTGGGAACTGAAGACAAACTATCTGTGTATATATTAAATAAAAACGGCGATAGAACAGAGCCTTGAGGAATTCCGTACGACAATGCAACAGGCGCCGAAGAGGTAGTTCCAATTCTAACATACTGCCATCTGTCAGACAAGTAACTTTCAAACCACTTATGCACTGCAGAGGATACACCTAGGTTTAGAATTCTTTGAAGAAGCACGTTGTGATCAACACTATCGAAGGCTTTCGACATATCCAACAATATAACTATAGATAACTGTTTATTATCCATAGCTTCCAACAACATGTCTGTCACTGCAATGTTAAGTGTTTCGGTAGAATGTTTCTTTTGATTACCACTTTGATGCTCCGTTAATAATCTGTGGTTTGTTAGATGTTCTGTATACTGATTCAGTGCGACTTTGTCGCATATTTTTGACAAACATGACAGCAGTGAAATCGGTCGATTATTTGAAGCAATTTCAGGATCCCCTTCCTTGTGTAGCAGTACCACTTCTGCTATCTTCCACATTGAAGGATATGTTGACGTCATCAAGGAACAGTTGATAATATCCGTAACAGGATCTAAAATCACTTCAAGTGAATCTTTAATGAATTGAATATTTATCTTATCGGCACCTGGAGCTTTGTTTGATGGACTATTTAAAATAATTGTTCTAACTTCATCAGGTGTGACTGTTCTAAATTCAAACAGATCAAGAGAAGATCGGTGCCTTGCAGGTGGTAAAGCAGTTGTCATCTGAATGTTGTTAACTTCCGCAAGTCTCTTGACCTTGTCGGCTGCAATCTTCCCCACAGAAGCAAAATATTCATTAAATTCATTGGCTAATTTTTTGTGGTCTTTCTGGTAAACGGGTTTTTCTGAATCTTTGCTTGGCAGACACCCCCTAATCACTTTCCACATAGATCTTGAATTACCTTTATATTCCTCAATTTGATTCCGGACAAAGTTGGACTCTGCTGCTCTTAAAGATGTTTTTATAGAATTCCTAAGTTGCCTATAGACGTCCCAATCTTCCGCGTTACGTGAGAGGCGAAAAATTCTCAGCTTTTTGTCTCTCAGTTTCATCGTGCACTTTAATTCTTTATTAATAAACTGATTAAGTCTGCCTTTAATTCTGATGTGTTTGATAGGCGCGTGTTTGTTCAGAGTATTTATGAACAATTGATTGAAATGATCAATTTTCTCATTTAAATCACTAATGCGATAGGTTTCATGAAACGGAAGTTGAGACAGTTCTGCCTTGAAACTCTGGGAGTTGTAGTTCTTAAAACTCCTCACATCCTTGTATTCAGGTCGAGGCTTATCAGCTCTAAGTTTAAGTATTCAGTATATCATAGAATGATCGCTAATACCAATGTCAACAACCCCGCTACTTTTAACTTTAGAGGAGGACGAAATCATAATAACGTCAAGTAATGAACTTGTTTGAGATGTAATTCTCGTTGAATCTTTAATAAGTTGGGTCAGGTGTAGTTCGGAGCAAGTATCTAATAATATTTTAGACTCATAACAAGATGTTTTAAGGAGATTGCAATTCATATCGCCCAAAATAATGATCTCTTTTCCCAGTAACAAAGCCTCAATGAATTTAGGTTTAAGTTCATCCCGTATACATGTAACCGGGCAGTCAGGTGGTCTATAAGTAACGCAAACAATCATAGATTTGTTTTTATTCACTTGCACTTGTAACCAAAGTTGATGGAAACCTACTGGAGAAATATACGAGAGATTTTTCAAAACTTTTGTTTTGAAGTCATTACGGACGTAAATACATACGCCGCCACCCTTTTTGTGCTTACGATCAAGTCTGTATATGTTGTATTCCTGAATTTTTACCTCGGCATTAGTCGTGGACGTATTTAGCCATGTCTCTGATAATGCCAAGATATCTATTTTCTCGTCAACGACAAGTTCTCGTACTTGAATTAAATGATTTCTGTTTCTAACTGACTGCACGTTGAGATGAGATAACTTTATTTTGTTAAATGAATGTTTTTGGTTGTTCATTACGATGTTTGGGTTGACTGCATGCGAAATGTTTACAGATATTGTATTTTGAGGATTACGCCTCATCTGCCTAATCCTTTGCCATCGCGGAGACATTCTGATGGGAATTTGAGCCATTATACATACGTTGAAAGGATTCCCTCTGGGGGGCTGTCGTTTCTACCATCAGTAGATGCTAGTTTCCACGGTTTGCATTTCACAAACTTGGGCCAGAAGGTTTCGTTTTCAATCAAGGGGCATACATTTGCTTGGACATGAAGTTTAGCAGAAATTGAACCTTTCCGTTTACTTTTAAATAGAAATAAGTAAGTTGGTATTACCTTTCGCTTTTCCAAATAGCATAGAATATCCTGATCTTTAACATTCTCAGCAATCCCGGACAAGAAGAACTTTTTAATTCTATTTCGCTTTCGTTTAACCCCAATAAACCCATCACTATCATCAATTCGTTCATTCATTTTCCGAGCTGCAGGGACTTGCATAATATTGTCTGTATTATCCGTACTGGGTTTGCCATTACTCCTGTTAACAGAGGGATGAGATTTTGCCACTTGAGCATAGGTTCTTGGAGATCTGGATTGTTCATCAATACTTCCATCTTTACTTGCGCCAGTACTTAACTCATTTAAATTAATGTGGGACATATCATTATCATTAGATTCAGGAACGTTCCCTTTCATAAGCGAAATGCGATCATTGTTATTGTTATTGTTCATAAGCGATATTAAATTGATGTAGGACATATCGTTATCATTAGATTCAGGAACGTTTTCTTTCATAGGCGAAATGCGATCATTGTTATTGTTATTGTTATTGTTCATAGGCGAATCCGTCAATTCTTCCAAGACAAAGGAACTTTTAGTATTAGCAAAATTTGCATACTGAGACTGCTTAACATCAGATTTTTCTGTGTTTTTACTAAAATTACTGTTATTCTTTACTTCATTTCCTTTCACTCGAGAAATTACAGACGCTAAATCATGAACAGACTCTGCAAGCGATTGAATTATTTCGCAGTTTAACATTTGTCCTGCTTTGAGACTTTTAATATCATCAAAATATGCATCGGTCGCCATGCTTGATTGTGCTTGCGATGGCTGGGTTGGCAAAGTTAAGTTATCTTTAAGCATTACCTCGCAAATCTGTTTCTTGATTTCCTCTGATCTCTCACCATTAATGGTTAATACATGTTTATTCTTTCGCCACACCATAGTTGAATTACCAAACGTAAGCAGCTTCTTGTCCCCTCCAGGCTGTGACCATTCGCCATCTAATTTGAGAACTTCGCTCGAGAATTGCTTAAGAGAAACAAAATCGCCTGTCCAAGCAAGGCTTATATTCTCGATAAAACCTGACATTCTATCAGTCTTCTATCATTTGTATATTTGTACCAATGGTGCATTAAAAATTGTTCACAAAGTATTTTAAAATATAAAAATTATCAGAGAGCACAAAATACACGTCCGCACTCGACAAAGTACATTGATTGAAAATTATTTCCGGTTGTAGCATATTTCCGGTTGTCCGCTATGTAAATACGCAATTTTCGTTATTTACAGTTTTGTATAAATTTTAATAAATACGGAGAAAATTTGGTATGTTTTTGTCGAAATATCCACATGATCGAATTCTAAACGTAAACTATGCCTCATTCTGGGAACCAGAGCTCGATGGCTTTTTCCAGGAGTCTAAAGAGACAACATTCAGCGCTCTGAATAGGATTTCTTCGTCCTCGGTCCTCGTGTCATGTTAGTTTTAATATTCGAGACAGCAGCTCTTCGCTTCAACTGCGTATGACACAGCCGCTATTCCCCTCAATCAGTTCTGCCTGATGTTTGCATATTAGCTCGAGCGAGCTGACTACTATAACCTTGCAGGTCTTGGAAAACAGCTCGGCAATAAACTGATAAATAAGTCTCATGTGAGTCAGTTAGCCTTTATGCGAAACTCAATATTTGAAAATTTGCGAGATCGACATATCAGTACGGCGAAATTACGGCGAGATATTTAGACACGTTGTAGTTAAAATACCGAGAAAAATAATGCTGCAAAAGCGTCTTCACTGGTCTTTTCGTACTTATTTTGTCATTTTTGGGCTTAATTAATTGAAAATAAATTTCACAAATAAAGCACTTTTAACAGTATATTGGCAAAATTACAAATTCTATTTTTGGTGTTTACATAGTACATACGCTGGTCATATATTTCCAGTTTGAATCACATGATGCGTTTTATCGTCTCTTAGCCAATCAGCATAACATCCAGATTCTGGATGTTTAACATGGCTACCGAGGGGCTGATACTCAGGCTACGTTTGCACTCGTGCCGTTTGGTACATGTCTTGCTTTACTGTCCAATAAAGTTTATAATATAATAATATAAATAATTTCTTGTTTTTCCTTGCTTTCGGGAGTGGATTCTAGCTCATTTAATTTTTGAAAATAGTTATATCTTTTCTTTTCGTATTTTCGCAGCCATCTTCTCGGTAAAAATTTTTAAAAAACTTTCCCAAAGCGAGCTCCGAAGACATTGCTAGAAACGACTGCCGGCGGACGTAAACAATTCAAAATTTAGCGGGCTAAAATGCATTTTAGCCCGCTATTTTGTTCATTTTATCCCGCAAAATACGCAAAAACGCCCGCTATAAAGTTATATTATAATAATAGTTAAAAACATAGTAAAATTTACCTTGTATTTTCGACTTACGCCAGCAAAACCTTAATGAGAAAGTTAACCGTAGCATTTAGCTCTTCTCCGTATTTTAGGTTCACTTTTCTTTGCCTTGAAACTCGGCTGCATGTCTTCGCAGGTTCGTGTAGGGCATTCACCATGCAAAACAAATGCTTGCCATATAATAAATTTATACATATACATATATAATCATTTCGTATAGTTTGATCCTAAATATAATTATATCAGCGTTGACCATGGTTACCTTAGTTTTAATATTGCAGGCTGATACCAGAGTCACCTCGATGGTTATTGATAAATAATAAAGAGGAGGATGCGAAAAACGTACTTTTAAAAATCGCCAAAATGAATAAGAAAAAAATACTTGACGATGACCTTGAAAGGCCTGTTATTTTAGAACAACGATCCAGCTTTACACAACTGTTCTCGTCATGGAAAGTGGCAAAAACAACTTTAATTAGCTGGGATTTATGGTATGTTGTAAAATGAGACGTGCAATGTCGTTAAAATTTGACAACCGACAACGGCAACGGCAGAAAACAAAATGGCTTACATTTTTGTATGCAAGCTTTGCATACATCACTAAACTTTATTTGCCTCTCACATAAAAGTAGTACTTACCTTTCTTTACAAACAGCCCTTAAAGCCTGGTAATTCACACCAGCAATTTTGTCGGCGATTTTGTGTTTCTGATGCAAATCAGTGAACTCGCACACAAAAGTATACTGTTGTGTCGTTTGTCAGAAGTAAACAATGCTAAATCTTTGCATCTCATTCATTCGATCACATTTGCCAGGAGGAGAAATATCGTCGACAGAATTCCTGGTATGAACCATGTTTAAGTAACAATAGACAGTGAATTCAAATACACTGGACTTGACTTGACATGACTTATAATTACGAGTCGTGAAAATGAATCGATGTATAAATACCATAGCCGTTTGAACAACTAGAATACTTAAGGTAATACATTTTTTGTACAAATCCCTTTGTCTTAGTGAGTAAAATTCTATTGTTTTTCAAACACTCATTAATAATTCATATAAGCTTATTGGCAAATCATGTCAACCATAGTATGTCACGTGCAGTGGCTTTAAACCTGATAAAACACTCCTAATAAGTATTCTTTATATAAAGAATACTAATAAAGGCAGTATAGTATAGGCCTATCTATTGAATTTGTAGTCGTGTTTGAAGCCGTTAAATATTAAACTCGCAGGACGTGTTTTATTAGGTCTAAATTACGCTCGCGCTGCGCCCTCATCGCTTTAAACCTAATAAAACACTCCTGCTCGTTTATTAAACAGTTATACATCATCACGTCTTTATTGGCGTTGCTGTTGTATTTGCCAAATTGACTGATAATTTCTACAATGCGGCAGCACGACAACGTTCCTTTCAAACAAAGAAATTCTTCATGCAAGACAAGAGCTTTATCGGATAAATAATTCGTGTTCCCATTCACGAGAGGTGTTTCCACAGCGTTGTCATTCCTTATGCAACCTTATAGTGAACAATAATGCATCGATTAGCCTAACTTAGCTGTTTGCAAGGTTCTTCAAATATTTATTTCAGTAGTCAAATTGTTCAATACTCATCCTACTAATAAAGCTGAAATTCAGACTGCGTCATTTTGCAGATCTTAAAGACTTATTATTAAACTCTTTATTAAAAATATTTTTAAGCAACATAATAAGTACTATTTAAAATACTCATTAATAATGCATGAAGAAAATTCAAAAGAAATGAATGTTTAATCAATGTTTGTAAATCGGATAAAGATTTGTCCTGATTTACATTTTGATTTTAAAATTACTTAAAATGACTTCGCCAATGAACTCATAAGATGGTCGTTTTTTAAGTACGTAAAACATTCGCATCCGATCTTTATCTGATATACAAACTCTCGCCTTCGACTCGAGTTTGTATATCAGATAAAGATCGGATGCGAATGTTTTAACTAGTTCTTAAAACACGCGTAGGAGTGTTTTTATCATGTTTCAAAAACTCATTAATAATTCATGAGGAAAACACAAAGAAAAATCATATTATTAAGCGTGTCGTATCTTTACATGTGATAGAGATTTCCCTTGATTGCCATAAACTTTAACTTTGATTTTCTCGACTTATACAACGTATTTTTTGAAAATATTTACTTCGCCAATGAACGTACTAGATCGATCGTTTTTGAAGCAATTTAAAACATTCGCAGTGTGTAGTTTTATCAGACCTAAAGATACTCGGCTGCGCCTCATATCTTTATATCTGATAAAACGTACACTGCTGCTCATATTTTAAATAGTACTTAAAATGCGAGTGCGGAGCACGAGCATTTTGGATATGATAAAACACGACTACAAGTGGTTTGAATAGTTTCAAACACGACTACAACAGATGTCGTCTCATTAGTGTTCTTTATATAAGGAATACTAATTAGGGTGGACTTTTATATAAAGAATTAATGAAGATGGGTTTTAAAACCTCTTCACGTGTTCATAGGTATAAAACCTCTTCACGTGACATATTATGGTTGACATGATTTGCCAATAAGCTTATGAATTATTAATGAGTGTTTGAACTGTATTTAAATGATGAAATCGATAATCTATTACAGGTTTACTAATACCCTTGTGTACTATGGTGTATCGTTTGGTTCAGTGGATCTTGGAGGGAATAGATATCTGAACTTTTTCTTGATCAGTCTTGTGGGAATTCCAGCAAATGTTGCTATTATGTGGGCCGCAAATAGGTTTGTGTTCGAACAACTAATTGGTACATATAATATGATGGCTATTGTCTCAATGAGTGCATGCATATATTTACATATTTATAATCGCTTAGAAATATCGTCTCCAGGAATAGATAAAAAATTAAAGAATGTACAAAATTGTTTTTGAACGGTTTATGCCTTTACCCAGTAACAGTGGCGTAATTACTATGGGCTCAGACCGGGAGAACCCGGGGGCCCCCAACCCCAATGAGCCAAATAGGGGCCCCCAGGCTTAGGCGATAGAGCAAAAACATTGGCCAGGTCCTCTGATATGTTACAATGTTATTTTTTGACCATCAGAATTCTGTAAAATCTCTCCCCAAAGTCCAGGAAATGGCATTTCAGAGAGTCTAGATTCAAAAATTTTCCGGATGAGCATGTCCTGGACCCCCTAGAAAACTTTGTGCATATACGGCGCTCGACTCGTGCCTTTGGCACTTCTACTAGGGGGGCTTCGAAAATTTTGAACCGGGGGCCCCCTGATATAACGTTACGCCACTGCCCAGTAAAACCGGTTACTGGTTAAAATAACTAATTGAATTGGTTGTCTCAGATTAATTATCTTTTGACCAATAGTATTTGATTAAAATAACGCAATTAGCCTTTCTCACGATGACGAATATCCGCCATTTTTGGGTGGCATCTAATTCTCGTTAACCAATGCAGACAATTAAAACAATGTGAAAAGCAATTTTTCAAAACAAACTAACCATTTACAAAGCAAATTTACGACCATTCGTCCAAAAAATTATAAAAAGTCGCTGTTATGTGGACTTATCTCGCAGACTTCGGCTGAAATGCCACCCAAAAATGGCGGCGTGAGAAAGGCTAATTGGGTTAAAATAACGCGGTTTTTGAATATTTAAACAAATGTTGGTCAAATGAGGGCATCTATAAGGTAACCAATTCGTATTGGCTATTTTAGCCAATATGTTTTTAAAGCGTATACTAGCTGATTAGATGGTATAATACTCAACCCGCCTATTCATGATCACCTAGTTGACTTTCATATGTCTAAGCTATTGCCGCACAATTCACTATTAACATACATATGCGAATATGCACGTGAGTTGGGTGAGCAAAAGTGATTTTATTTTGGGGAGGCCAACCTATTTTGTGAAATCACAATTATAGGGGCCTGGGAACTTTCTCCCAGAGGAAATTGAATTTTTGGCCTCTGAAGCGGCATTTCCTGCATACTGGAAGCAGTTGGAGAATAATTGAAGGTCTTAGAAAATCGAAAACGTTTGATACGCGATCAGATCTATTCTCGGATCCATTGCAGATTTTTCACCAGGGGAACAGTAAGGCCTACTGTATATATACCAAACACCCAAAGAATAATTAACAATTTCATTCTAAAAATCGTGAATATAGTTTTCTCTAGAGGGCAGTTGCCCCCCCTCTCCCCCCCCCTCCTGCTGTGCACGACCCTGATCCATTGCATGATGGATAGGAAAATGGAATATATATGACATGAAAGTACATTAGAAAATACAAGGACGAGGACGATATTCTTAATGTGTACTAAGTTTACCAAAATTACGTATACTTTGAAATTCTCAGTCTTGTCTTTTCTTTTATTTTAATGAAAACTCTTTGCCGTAATTCGGAATTGAGACTGAAAATTCTAGCAAGGGCTAAAAATTATATTTATTGAACCCGCAAGTTCGTTCAAGTGACCTCAACGCGCGAGGATTAATAAGTGTCTATGTAAAATTAAAAGCACGACAGAAACAGCGGAGTACATATGTAATAATTTTATTGAAATATAAAACCTATTTTTCAATTATACTTCAGATTTGGTCGTAAAACGTCTGTGCTTATTGGCTTGGTTATTACAGTCATTGCGTCCGCTATTTCAGTGTCAATACCATCTGATCAGAGTTCAGGTTGGTGCGGATCATATGAATAAGGGTATAACTTTATTACTTTTTTAATATCGCCAGACATGCTCATGCGAATTACTGCCCTGGCCTGCTCAGGACTAAATCAGCGGACAAAATTAATTATATAAGTATATTGATTATGAAGTATACGATATTATTATGTCATTGACTGAAAAATCGTATTGATGTGAATAATAATATATAGGATAAAAACCGACTTCGAAGTCTTTGATTCGCATTTAATTATGGCGTTCACTAAATATCAGATACATTTCCTATACTATTCTGAAAAGGATTTGGAAATTGTTGTTGTTTATTTGAGAAGCAACAAATCAATTGGTAAATAATTTTTTGTAGCCATGCTTGATTCGTGAGGCGAATTAAATCAAATACATGAGAATCATTTAGGCTTCATTGCAAAATATTCATTGTATTTTCCCATTGAAGAAATATTTTGATATTATCTGTCATAAAAAATATTTGAAAGCGTAAAAACGTCTAAAAACCTTATTGATGAATAACCCTAGAAGTGCTTCCAACATTTTCAAACATACAGTACCTTGCTTGTTGCTGACGATAATTGCCCTGTTAGTTTCGGCCATAGTATTTTGATCGTTTGCATGCCTGGCAAATTTCAAATTTTATTCTTCTAAATTATTTATCCTTATTATATCAAGTATTTATTAATTTGATTTACTCCTACTAACTGTGGAAGGCTTTTACATTGCGTCATTACCGCCATTTCGGATGAATTTTACAAAAGATTTTTCCTGGATTTCGGCAATTCAAATTTCATTCCTCATGAAGAAAATCCCTTGCTTTTCGAATCCCTGGAAATTGACTACAAACCATCTGGCTATTTGGATTACTGATTTGTCTTTCTTTGCAGCTGGTGTTGGTGGTCGTATCACAGCCGCTATTGTGGCAAATTTCTTTATTTCCTTTTCTTTCGCTGGAGTCTACTTATGGACCAGCGAGTTGTTTCCGACGGTTATAAGGTATAGTCAAATAATTATCGGTTATATATATGCTCCTGTTTCTCGCACATTGTTAGGCGAGTTAGGTTTAGGGATTGGATTCTGATCAGAGAGATTATAAAAAAATAAATTGCAAATGCGTGAAAAGTCAAGGGAGAAAGGGAAGATCCTAAAGAGAGCCATTTTACGCAATCTGATAGGCTAAAATCTCGCTACCCCGGATATAATATCTTGTTTCCGGATGCAAAGTCGCGATGTTTAGATGCAGCGACGAAAATAATGTAACTTACAGATTTATCGTAGTTAAGTAGGCTGGGATTAAAACTCAGAATTATCAAGAATACCCGGATTTAAGTACAAAACAAGTTTTGCAACGTATTAATGTATTCTTGTCGCTGTTAAAGGGCGGAGTTTTCTTTGTTGACCTTCGACACACTCAATTTTTTGTCATTTTTCAACAACAAAAAGGGGGGACTGCATGCTCAATTTATTTGAATAGGTAAAAGTAAAACAGCCAGGACGCTTGAGAAAACCAGGATTGAAGCCTAATGGTGAAAAACAACTGGAATCTATCGCCAATTGGCAAGCTCCAATTTTTTCCTTTCGTTTGGGCGAATTTATCCCACAATGCCCCCTGTCTCTATTAATCTCCATGGTTATGACTGGAGTCAAGAAACAAACCGATAATTTAATTATTCCAGAACGATAAAAGTGGATGTGACCAAAATATTCCAGCATGAGCTCCACCTTTGAATTTACTACATGAGTAAATTGAAATTTCTTAAACACGTCCGAATTTGATTATGATAAATTCACGGCACATTTTGAATTTATCATAATAATAAATTCGCGGCACCTAACACTAACCCCAACCCTAACCACTAAACCCCAACCCCTAGCCACTAACCCTAACCCTAACTTTTTAAACTTTTTAAACTTTTTTGAAAATCTAACTTATTAAACTTTTTTTCCTTTTAAAACTCTTTTAAAACTTTTTTAAAACTTTTTTAAAAACGATTTTTTGGTCAATCTTGAAACCACCCGCATAATTTTATAAATTAATAATCATTTTCACATTTTGAGAATTATTTATCTCATGACATCACTCATATAGGCGTCGGAAAATTGGCGTACAACCTACCATAATAGAGAGTTTTAGCTTGACGTTTACGGCAAACGTCAAACCGCTAACGAAGTTTTTGATTTTACAACTCTATTATAACAGCTTTTACACTAATTTTGAAATATAAACAATTATTTAACTTGTGCTCTTTAGCAATGATTTAAAAGAAAGCAAATTAACCACTAGTCACGTATTCCCGAAAGCAGTAAATTAAGATTTGGCGTTTGAAGTTTACGTTTGGCGTATAAATTTCATGCTTTAACGACTATACAAGCCCTCATAGCAGTTCAAGCATGAAATTAATACGCCAAACGTAAATTTCAAACGCCAAGTCTTAATTTACTGCTTTCGTGAATACGTGACTAGTGGTGAATTTGCTTTCTTTTAAATCATTGCTAAAGAGCACAAGTTTAATGATTGTTTATATTTCAAAATTGGTGCAAAAGCTGTTATAATAGAGTTGCAAAATCAAAAACTTCGTTAGCGGTTTGACGTTTGCCGTAAACGTATAGCTAAAACTCTCTAATAACTGCTTCAACCCACATCACGGGGAATTTATTTTCTACTTAGCCATACACCCCTAAATCCGCGATCTCCCCGCTTAATATTCGCCGGTTATAAATTCGTTTATTTCTCCTGTGCAGGGCAACTGGTATGTCCACGTCATCTTCTTTTGGAAGAATTGGCTCGTTTGCCGCCAGCTACATTATTTGGCTTGTAAGTAACTTGAACGTTACATACACTAATAGATTAACATCAACACTCTGCACATACGACGTATTATTTATTTATTTATTTATTTAACTTTGCCAACTAGGAGGGCAGGGTCACCATAACAGCATATGCCAATTATTGTGGGCCCTTTTACCTAACTCACCCTATCAACTTTCCCTGTGGGAGGAAACCGGAGAAAACCCACAACTTTCGGCAGGAGCGTTGACTTTTACTCTTTTCACACTGAGGACTGGGTTCGAGTCGCGTTGAGGAGGTTCTCACTGAGGCTTGAACCTGCGGCCTTAGAGGTGAAAGGCAAGTGCAACCACTTCGCCACCAAAGCCCCAAATATTATATAACACCTCATTAACTTCTGGTCATTTAATTGACTTATTATGATCACGTGATAGGGTAAAATTATCATTTTGCTAAGCGTGCAATGCAATGCAAGGCGTTCCATTGCACACTCAGTCGTGCAATGGAAAAAAAGTATTGTAGAAAAAAGCAAGACTTGGTTTTTAGTAAAATCATGGCGAGAAATGTTGAACACGCATGCGCAGTATAAGTAGTGGCTACTGTGACAAACCAAATCATTACCAAGCAGAATGGCTTCAGAAATATATGAAAAGTTAAGAGAAAAACAATGAAAAGCGACCATACTTCTTTGCTCATCTCAAAATTTTGAAATGTTCTATATCTTTATATTTGTGGAGCTGAAAACTTGGGCATGCATGTTTTGAGATGGAAAATGTTATCCGGCATGATACACTTCTCATGGTATTAAAGATAAAAGTTTTTGTATATTACTGTATGAGTAGTAATGTAGGTGGTTTTCCAGCCCCTTTTTTGAGTGTGAGGGAAGGTGAGTGAGGGTGAGTTCTTTAATTAAAATGATTAAATATTCAGTAAATGAGAGCGAGTGAGGGTGAGTTCATTAAATATTCATACAAATGAGAGCGAGTGAGTGAGTGAGTGAGTGAGTGAGTGAGTGAGTGAGTAGTAATATAGAGGCCGTTCGGGCCTTATTTTTAGGGGGCCGCAAGGGGGCCGCACATTATATATGCAGGTAATTACTATGCAAGGGGGCCGCACATTATATATGCAGGTAATTACTATGCAGGTAATTACTATGCAAGGGGGCGGCGCATCATTATATATGCAGGTAATTAAGGGGGGCGCACAAATGAGGGTGCGTAGTGACGTCACGCGGGGAGGATCAGGTAAGCAATGACGTCACGCGGGCAGGTTTAAACAAGGACGTGTGAAACTTGCTGACTACGCATTTTTAATCTTGATTTGCTATGAATAGCTCGAGTCCCTCACAAGGCAGAATTGTGATCGAAATTAATATATAGCAGAGTTATAGCCGTATCTTTGCTCAGAAGCAATAAATTTCCACGAGTATATTGAAGGATTTTTCATATGTTCCATAGCGAGGAATCTATTCGTTACAAAAATCAAGACATATTTTAAACAGAACTAAACAGTTGCTTATCCCGGGTTGCCAGCGTCGTTGTTAAGGTTAATATTATTAATATATATAGCAGAGTTATAGCCGTATCTTTGCTCGGAAGCGATAAATTTCCACGAGTATATTGAAGGATTTTTCATATGTTCCATAGCGAGGAATCTATTCGTTACAAAAATCAAGACATATTTTAAACAGAACTAAACAATTGCTAATCCCGGGTTGCGAGCGTCGTTGTTAAGGTCAATATTTGCATGTTGTTCAACGTTATTTAGCAAGTCTTCTGCATACATATATACTGTTAAGATGACCGAGTCAGATCATAAGTAAGCTTATGAAGAATATAAGTTAGAATTGGAACAGTTGTAATATATTTTGCGATAAAAACATGTACTCGTTATATACGTTGTTATGTGTTAAGTCATTAGGAGGTGTAGGTAATTAAGGGGATTACGGCAATACGAATTTGCATGACTAAGTGTATCCCAATGGATAGATAGGGATTATTTATAACGCAGGTGTATACCTTAAAATCGGGCGCGATGTTTTGTGGGCAAAAATTTACACAAGAATTTCGATTTAAGACACATTTATTTCTTTAAGTACTACAAAGTTAATAATTCTTGTCTGTATAAATATAATATTATCCACTTAAGAGTTGTGTTTCGCTTTTGTTTCTAACTTTAACCAATCCATTGAGCCATCATTCATTTCTGTATTGTCCACATTCTTTGCAGATTTTGTACTTGATTTCGTTCTTTTCCTGGAGGATTTTGGTTGAAGAATGGGTATATTTTTTATCCTGCTTTTATTCCACTTTGACTGCTTTTTATTGTTCCCAATTAATCTGTACAATTCTGTTAAAACGTTTTCTAAGTTTAAAGCTGTTGGCTTAGCACGAATAAGATAAGGTTGTCTTTCTTGGGACGAAAGTTCATGGACGTCTGCCAAATGGTTTGCCAATCTTTTTAAAGCTCGCTTGCCGCAGATGGGACAATCTTTACACTTCCGAGGCATAATGTCAAATGATAAATGTCAACTGATTCATAACATTAAATAGTTGTGGCCCTAAAGGCCGAAGGTTTGCTGGGACTTGGGAAAGGGTTAGAGAAATAGGTTAGGGGAAAATAGCTACCGCACAGGATCGATCTTATTTTACTTTTATAAATCAAACACAAACAACCATTAAGAGTCAATGTCACTAGGATACCGTGTGTTTCTGAAAAGTCTTTTCAAAAGAAATTTTCTCTTGTCAATAGCGGCCTCTAACGCTTCCCGATGGTCGAAATTATCATCGTTGACAAAGACATCCCTGGTTTCCATAATCTTTTTGTGTATTGGATCTCTCTTTAGTGTCTTATCCATAGTAGACGTTCCAAATAAATATTCTGCAAATCTTTACGAAGTTTTGGTACGATAAGTAAATATGCCTTGTTTTTAGCTTCGTTTTCGTCAAAACCTTCTGCAGTGAAATTCTGCGTTAGTTCTTCGAATTCCGATAAATTTTGTTGGGTTGCTTCAGCTTTTAAAGGAGCCCACGGATCGCTTTCGTATTCATCACCTACTTCACTACTAGTATCATCTACATTATCAGAATCACTCTCTGACGCAGAATCAGTTTCCACTTCGTTGTCAGTGTTATACGAATTCTCAACATCACTCTCTGATGTAGCACTATCAGAGTCTGCAACCGTTCTTATTCTTTTCATCTTTACACTGAAATCTGTAGTAGGTTTCCAACAGTACTGTATTTCCTTCGTATATAGTTATGTTGAAACAACTCCAACCACAACCAACCGGC